AGCAGCATTCATAGCCTTATTCCCCGTAGAATAAAGAAGACAATAGAGAGATAGCTTTGATATTTCAGCTACAAGCCTTTATCGAAAAGACCACTCTTTTCGATAAAGGCATGTAGCCGAAATATCACACATATATTTCCATTTTCCTTTTAATGCTGCGAGGAATAAGCCCATAGATACCATATCATCAACCTGCATAATTTTTCTCGCAAACGCACTCAACAACTTGGGTTATTAAAGGTCATTAAAAGTTTGATTTCAACAAAAAGGAACAACTTTTAACGAATGAAGAGTCATTTAGTGCATTTGAACGAGATGGCAATTACAGTCACCGGCCAGGCCAGCCGTTACTGCAGAACCGACCGACTGTTTCCAAGTCGGTAAGTGGGCTTAGGGCCATGCGTCTTTGTTTTGACCTTGACTAAGGCCCGGACAGCTCCGTGGAAGCGCCGTCATCGAGCTCGCAACTCAAACCAGCCGATCCCTGTGTAACGAGGTGGCGACCGAAGCCGGTCCGTTCCAGGTCAGGGTCAGCACGGCACAAATCGTACGACTTATCGCTGCGTAGTCCGCAAGTCACGCTTGGTTCTGCGTGCACCGACAACTGCATTAAACTTATGAAAAGAAGCTCTCGGCATTGTTTTTGGCGACGTCTGTAACTCATCACGTGGAGAACTTTTGGCGTCCTCGTGTTCCACTGGTGATCCCAATTGGCGGTATCCGCTGTCCGCCGTTGCTCTGGCCCGGGCCGTCTCGTGGTTGGGCGGATACGGACGGCCAAACAAAGCCAGCGGTCCGCTGAGCTCTTCGTGTTTCCAACCTGTAGCCGGATAACCGGGTGTGTTTGCGCGGCTGCCGCCGCAGATCGTATCGACGCTTCCCAGAACGCCTCTCCCTCAGATGCGCAGTGTGTCCCCATCGCGTGCGCGGTGCTCGTGTCGGCGCGTGCCGGCTCGGCCGGAGCTCGTGTGCGACGACGGCTGTCCGCGTCGGTCACGCCCGGGACGCGTGGTCCGTCTTAATGAAGTCGCGCTGCTTTAGTGTGGGATCGGTGGTCTTCCGGTCCGGTCGGGCGTCGGGCGAGATGGCGTGGCCGAACTGGTCCGGCTGGGTATCGGCGTGGTCAGCTGATCGTGACCGGCGTCTGGCTGGCCTCAGCGTAATAAAGAAGTGAGTGGGATTTTTTGATAGCATAAAACACCGAAATGTAATGAATTAATTTTGATAAGAATAGCCAACATTGGAGCCGTCTGTAAGGCTGTCCGCCATCCGACCTTCAGATACTCCGCTCTCATGCTGTCGCATCCTCCCACCATTCCTGCCGTTCCTCAGGCGCTGTTTGCACATTATGCCACACAATGGGCATCTCAAGTTATCAGAAACGAATGGGGCGAGGCTTAAGTGGGGAGCGAGCACAACCACGATACCAAGGCAACCGCTCGAGACCGCCATTCGTCGACGAGTCCGGAATCGCCGAACATTCGACTTAGAGCTGGCTTGCGCGCCGGCCCTGACACCCTGAGCGTGTCCGGCAGGCCGGTGACGCCCGGCCGACGCGGCGGCGCGCCACACGTCCGCCGGGCTCGCGCATCTTCGTCGTGTCCGGCGGCCGCGGTCGGCTGGGGTCAGGGGCGCCCGGCCGGGCGCTCCTGCCAGCACGCTCGTCGGGCGGTGTTGGCGTCAGGGCCATGTTGAAGAGAACGTTTCGCATTTGAAGATATTGAAGCCAGCATCAGATATGATGAAACATGCCAACGTATAACTATTGGTATAATTGGAAACGACAGCCCAGGACAATACAATTTGTCCATTTGGTGAACATGCATTCATGTGAATATTAAATATTTAGTAAAAAATGACGCATGATTTTGAGGCAGCGTATACCGAAACATTGGTTTAATTAAGCATGACCGCTTGGAAATACAGCAGGGGTGTGGCGCAAACAGTCTAAACTGCTGCCTGCCATACTCCGGGTGAATCACGGACTTCGCGCGGGCACGGAAGTCACCAGCAGGTCCGATCGGTCCCAGAGATCCGTAAAATCGTGACCGGCTCTCAGCCTCGGAAATGTCCGGGCAGAGCGGCGTAGTTTCGCAAGATGAGTTCGTGTTTTTGTGTTCGTATCTGTCTGCGCGAAAACCATCCACCAGAGTTCTCAACGTTCGCTAGCTTCGGTTCGCTACATCGGTCACTCACTCGTCATAACACGTTGCAAAAAATACGTTGGTAGACGATGCTACGAGTTATCCTATAAGATACGGTCTTGCGAGCTATACTGTAAAATGTGATCTTACCAATTAGAATATAGCATGCGATCTTACCAACTGGACCCTATAATATGATACTTTAAGATACAATCCGATAAAAGACGGTACGATTAAATACGATGCTATGAAATACGTACGAAGTGGAACGACGAAACCAGTAAATGTTCTGAATTGATAACAGAAGTGCCAAACCCAGCGTACACTCATAAAGATGAATGAAAATAAATTGTAGGTACATGAGATCCGCATTGGCTTGCAGAACCGCGCACGTGCATACCTATGTCATACAATCAGACAGGTAACCAGCATGAGCTTCAAACTAAGACGCATGACCAGATGTCTGCGTATCGAAATGCGAGTTTGTAATCCCTCAGAAATCAGAGGTGAAAACATAGCGGTGGTCGCAGGCAGCTGGCTCCCAGCTGCCGCGGTACGATGAGGAACGGCTCGCTTGGTGGCTTCCAATCAGCACATGGGCAGGTAGAGAGACATTGACGTTGAGGAGGGCATCGCCCCGATTGACACAGAGCGACCTGGCTTAAAAAGAGGTGGGAGTAATTCGCTGGGCGTCAGCGGCAGGGCCGGGGCGGGGCCGACGCTGCGCGGCCCCATCGACTGCAGTGTTGCTAATATTCGCGAGTGCGCGTGCTCATAACTGTGTTACATGATTGCCATCACCTATCGATTTTCAAATGATGTTGAGCATTGCCAGACAAACAGGGTTGATCATGTACCTACAAATAGTTTACCTATATTTGGGGTGAAGGTCTTACACCATCAGGGGAGGGGGCTATGTCACCCCCCCCCCCTTCCCCCTCCAACCGTTGCCAAAGTTCTGGCTATACCCCCACAGTGGACTTAAATCCAAGCGTTTTTCTGAGATGAAACGCCACTTTGCCAACTGTCCTTGTGCCTTAGGTGCTGCCACCATAGCCCTCACTTGTACTTCAAACTTACTGAAAGGTGACAGCGTGGTCTTGGAAGGGTTTGCTGGGCGAGATATCGTTATGTTTTGTATTTTGACCCTTCCTCATGGTACTCTCGCATATTTAGCCGCGAGGTTAAGAAGTTAACTTGTCGCATATTCCGTTATGGCGCTGTTCAACGTTATTCGATTACAAGCCTCCTTTCCGTAATAACTAGGAACGATGTTCTTACACAATGTTGCACGAAACGTAAGACGTGATTGGTACGAAGTACTCAATGTCGGTGGGATGCTTGACGTCAGTACTGTTTGGAAGTTGTGGTCTTGGACGCCAGGTGTAAGAGGCCCTGCGGTGATGCTAGTATTGACTTTGATCGCGGCATGGATGGAGGGACGGTAGGACTGTAGTCACGCTGCTATGGTGTCATGCCTGCGTGGCTTGGAGATGGGTGGAACGCTTTCGTGGGAGTGCGGCCCTCAAAGTACAGGGTTTGTGTTGCAAGAGGAGCAGGGCTGTGAACGGCACGGAATGATCTTCAAAATGTTTGTTCCGGTCCAAACCCCGGGCAAATTTGGAACACTCCTGTTAATGGATCGGCGGCACCGAAGCAGTCGCGTCGGGAGTGCTCGCCGTGACTGTGTTGGTCGGACCGTGGCTGTGGCTGTGTTTTGTGGGACCAGGACCCTCGTGTTGAGTTGCTGGTCGTGACTGCATTGGTCGGGCCGTGGCTGTGGCTGTGTTTTGTGGGATCAGGACGCTAGTGTCGAGTTGCTGGTCGTGACTGTGTTGGTCGGGCCGTGGCTGTGGCTGTGTTTTGTGGGATCAGGACGCTAGTGTCGAGTTGCTGGCCGTGACTGTGTTGGTCAGGCCGTGGCTGTGGCTGTGTTATGTGGGGCCAGGATGCTCGTGTTGAGTTGCTGGTCGTGACTGTGTTGGTCAGGCCGTGGCTGTGGCTGTGTTTTGTGGGATCAGGACGCTAGTGTCGAGTTGCTGGTCGTGACTGTGTTGGTCAGGCCATGGCTGTGGCTGTGTTATGTGGGGCCAGGATGCTCGTGTTGAGTTGCTGGCCGTGGCTGTGTTGGTCAGGCCGTGGCTGTGGCTGTGTTATGTGGGGCCAGGATGCTCGTGTTGAGTTGCTGGCCGTGACTGTGTTGGTCAGGCCGTGGCTGTGGCTGTGTTATGTGGGGCCAGGATGCTCGTGTTGAGTTGCTGGCCGTGACTGTGTTGCAGGATCGGCGTGAGCTGGACGCCTGCGTCTGGCTATTTGTCGGCATGTTTGCCGTATCGCTGGTCGGGCTGTAGCCATGTTGGAGCAGTGCGTCGTGGGAGCTGGACGGCTGTGACAGGCCGTGTGTTCGGACTGAGGCCGTGTTGGAGGTGTGCGCTGTGCGGCTCAAATGGTCGTCTGGTGCTCCCCCGCGACCTGCAGACCTGCACTCACGGCAACATTTCTGTCGTTTTGCGACGCATGCTGCCTCCATGCTGCCACGTGTCGTGATCCCGTGTCATGCCGCCACGTGTCGTGATCCCGTGTCATGCCGCCGCGTGTTGCGATCCCGTGTCATGCCGCCGCATGTCGTGATCCCGTGTCATGCCGCCGCATGTCGTGATCCCGTGTCATGCCGCCACGTATCGTGATGCCCCGCAATCTCGCATCCTCTGAAGTGACTGGCAGCGGATGCAACCCGAAAACCACAGCCGGCGGCGCGCGTCGAACGTCCCTCCCCCCCCCCCCGACCGCAGCCCCGCGCCGCAGCGCCCGGCTGCTCGGCCGCAGATGGCCTCATCGGGCACCCTCTGTCGGCAGATGCTGCGCCGAGACGGTCTGGTGCCGGCGCGCTTCCTCAGCATCATGTCGCACCTAACGCTCTGCCTGACCCTGCTGATGGCCCGGGTGAGTGGTGACAGCACGCGGCACCGCCCACCGGAGAGACTGGCGGCGTGGTGGCGCCCTGTCGGTCCCCTGCTAGCCCCCGCCAGCCTCCGCCGCCGCGCCGCCGCGCCGCCGCGCCGCCGGGACGCTGGGGCGCAACTAGCGGCCGTCTGCAGCGATCAAGAAACTGTTGCGAAGGATGATGCTTGTTTTTTTTTTAGACCCGGTAACTCGTGCACGCGCGCACACGAAGCAGTAGGCACGCACACAGGCTTGCAGCTTTAATGTTCGAGGAATGCAGTTTTTTGTTCGGGCGAGTGCATGTTTGCTTGCTCGAACCGTCTGAAGAAAACGTAAACAAGTGCGCGTGGCTAGTGGCTGTCGAGCTTGTTTTATCAATCGCGACCCCTCTGGGTTTCCTTGGCCTCGTACTTGTGAGTTTAGGTGTGTGATGCATGAGAAGACGCGCTTGGCGTGGCTCCTCTCTGTTTTCTGCCCGTGTTGTCCAGCTCCGGCGGCTTGTCATTTTTAAGGTCTGTCGCAATCTCAGCTTTTGCGTGCTCCCCGGATTCGCTGTTTTCGTTTCACTGTCCTCTTTGTTGGCGTATGCCCTATTCCTCTCATTGCGCAAAACGTGGACAGGTTCCAACGCTTTGTTATTGAGATATCGGCAGGTATTTTTTAATTGAATTGTCAGTGTATCTTGTACCGGGCGACTGAAATGATGGCGCGTTGTAAGCTTCAGCAATTCCGGTTATCTGTGCTATGTGACAGACGGTTCCTTCGCGCATTAGCCTTGCGCGTGCCTGGTCGCATTAATAATTTTACAACGTTTTCACTAGCAGTCATTCACATGTGCAACCTGCACAAGCGTTGCCAGGCCTCAGGCCAAGCCATTCGAAAACTATTCGCTCTATTTTCTGGTCATTATGTTTTGTACTGTATCAGCTCGCGCAACCAAGACCACCGGAACAGTGTGTTTTAATTTCAGAAGTAGCGATCGAGGCCCATTTGTTCCTTTTTATGTGGAGATGCAAATTTATAACTGCATGTTATGCATGCAGTTATGTGTATGCCATGCATGTTAGCTGTGAGGCGATTAGGACGGCGGGCAGTTCGATACGCTGTGTGATTGTCCAGCGTTCTCCCTCGACTCCAACCACAGGGACGTGTGTAGTGGTACGTCTGTACACGCATATGACTGTCGCACTCATGAGTACCATACCGATGTCACTTCAAGAGACAACATTCATGTGAATGTTACGGAGCAGATGGATGATCATCGTTGTTGTTGACGAAGTCAAAATGCCAGATGCGGCTGACAAAACGTACTTGTCACTCGCTGGTTTCATGGCAATTACCGCTTGCGGTGTGCCGCCAAAGCCAATGACAAATCGAGACAGCATTTGTTTAACACCACAGCATGACGGGGTGGGCGCTGCACCAGCGCAGACAATGCACGCCAGAGCGGGTCCTGATGAGGAGCCGGGCTCCTGTTCCAGGAGGACAACGTGGAGGCGTGCCTGCCGTTTGAGTACAGCCCAGACGAGTTCGGCGCCAAGGACACCCAGTGAGTACGGCAACAGGCTGCGGCGGCGGCCGTGCATGGGCGGAGCAGGGCTCACGACGGGAGTCACTTGGAAGGCGTCTGATGCGGTCACTTGGGAGGCCGGCTCGTGATAAGGTCACGTGGGAGACCGGTTCGTGATAGGGTCACGTGGGAGACCGGATCGTGATAGGGTCACATGGGAGACCGGTTCGTGATAGGGTCACACGGGAGACCGGTTCGTGATAGGGTCACATGGGAGACCGGTTCGTGATAGGGTCACACGGGAGACCGGCTCGTGACAGGGTCACATGGGAGACCGGTTCGTGAAAGGGTCGCACGGGAGACCGGCTCGTGAAAGGGTCACATGGGAGACCGGCTCGTGATAGAGCCACGTGGGAGACCGGTTCGTGATAGGGTCACACGGGAGACCGGCTCGTGATAGGGTCACATGGGAGACCGACTCGTGATAGGGTCACGTGGGAGCCCGGCTCGTGATAGGGTCACACGGGAGGCCGGTTCGTGATAGGGTCACACGGGAGACCGGCTCGTGATAGGGTCACATGGGAGACCGGCTCGTGATAGGGTCACGTGGGAGACCGGCTCGTGATAGGATCACATGGGAGACCGGCTCGTGATAGGGTCACGTGGGAGACCGGCTCGTGGTAGGGGCACATGGGAGACCGTCTCCTAATAGGGACACATGGGAGACTGGCTCGTGATAGGGACACATGGGAGACCGGCTCCTAATAGAGACACGTGGGAGACCGGCCCGTGATAGGGTCACATGGGAGACCGGCTCCTGGTAGGGACACATAGGAAATCGGCTCCTAACAGCAGACCCATGGGAGATCGGCTCCTGGCAGGGCACATCAGAGACCACCTCATGATGAGAGGCCCATGGAACATCAGCTTCTGATTGGGACGCATTGGAGACCGACTCCTGGTGGGACACAGGGATGACGGACTCCTGATGGGGACTCAGGAGACACCAGATCCCTGACAGGGATCCATGGAAGACCGGCTCCAGCGGAGATCATTAAGCATGGGGCGCTACCGGAGACCGCGTGAAGACAGCCGTGGGCGGGGCCGTGGGATAGGCCGTCCCCGCAGAGGGTGCGTGGGAATAACGCAGGCCGCTGCCCGCGGACCTGTGAGAAGAGTCCCGGGCTGGTGGCCCTCCCACTGGTAATATGTCACGAGCCGCATCTCGACAAGTGGTGTGGGAGCCAGCCGCGCTGGTGACCATAGCTGTTGCATGCGCCGGTAAACGATCCGGTGATTGATGCTGCTGGCCTCGCGGGACCCAGGACCGCAAAGACCAGTTCTCTGGATGCCCAGCCCGGTGGTCTCTCACACGGCGTCTCCTGGTTACCTCCACGGCGAGTCACGTAGGCTTATATTGATGACGCAACTGGACTCGGGTGAAAAACTGTGGTGAAACCTCAGGACCATTTGCGTCTTATAATAGCACCGGTTGGTGCCATTGCAGCGCTATCAGGATATCAAAATGAAATACATTTTGATTTTTTCGGGTCCAAATTACGCTGTCAACCCTTTGTAACAGCACTACACTTCTTCCTTGCTTGACAGCCCCAGGGTGTGTCCCGAGTCCGGGACAGTTGCATTTGTCGTAACCGCCATCGTCACGACTACGGCAGAGTCTGCTGATGGCTGTTGTCGGCTTTTACGGATTAAAGGTACCACTTTTCAGCTGTTTTAATCCGCACATTGCGGGCCTGCGGTTGTAAAACCGGCACCTCCACTGGTGTGAATGACGTCAGGACCAATGAACGTTTGTGCTTGGCACAGCGGGTGGCATGGGCTTGGTAACGAGAAGCGCATTGGTTGAAGGCTGAACCAAGACCCTATGGCAGTGACGCAACTTTCTCCAAAATATCAGCCCGCAGCCCAGCCCGCCTCGCCTAGCGAGTGAGTCAGCCCGCGATAGTCCGCTATGCTACAATTCTGATCTGCCATTAACCCGCAAGAACTGACTTTTTGCTATATGCATTTTATCATTTCACTTTAATTTTAAACATATGCATTAAAGTGTCCATAAAATAGCATGTTCTTGTCCAACACGTAGCATGGTTTTGCTAACACCAGTGGTTGTGCTCAGAAAACGGCAATCATACTTCATGCACAATGGAGTTGTGCAGGTGGCATGATCATTTCGTCACATGCCGTTTCTGCTAAAATCGCATGCATCAACTAATAGCTTTGCGCTGATGGGTAAAAAATGTTGGATGTTCTTAGTCATGGGAAGTTTCAGTTTCTTGCGATTTACATAAGCTCAAAGCTCAAAGCTCATGGGACTGTTTCTTAATTTCAACGATGTCAATTTCCATGAAGGAAACAGGGCCAGGTATATATGGTATTTGGTATGGTGTTTGCTATATGGTATTTGCTGTCTTTAAGGGGATATATTATGCAACCATACTATGTAAACACCTCATGGTAGCTTTGCAATGATCTGCACTTTTCTATAACCACCACCCACATTCCAGTCCACCACCACTGCCCACGTTCCAGGCCATAAACAAACTATGTCACCACTTTTCAGCTTCGACAACTGTGGCGCAATAAATGCGCCAGTAACTGTTGGTTGTATTGACAAGTGAACGAAGCAAGGGCGATGAAAGGCTCACAGTTTCCTATACATTTGGATATTGATTTTGATTTGTGAGGGACGTGTTTTGTGTAGACCAGGGAAGGTTGAGTGCACCACACCGGCACAATAAGAGCCAAGTGCGGTGTAGCTGCATGCATATTTTGATTTGTGAGGGATGTGTTTTGTGCAAACCAGGGAAGGTTGAGTGCACCACACCGGCACAATAAGAACGAAGTGCGGTGTAGCTGTATGTATATTAAGGGGTCCACCTAACTGCTACTTAATGAGGTCAGGCTACAGTTTTGATTTCTTATTCCTGAATTTTCAGTGAGTTGTTTGCTTTAAGCGGTTCAATTTGTGCAACCTGGTTTACTGGTTTGTCATGTCGGCCATGGGCTTTCTGCCACCGGTCCTCGTGCTGTAAACAAAATACAGTTATGTTTGTTCCATGATTGTGTTGTGTTTGGCAGCACACTCTGGTCTCGGGATGTTTTTAAAACTTTAGAAATAGTAAAAAAAAAATGCATGCTTTGGCGCACTCAAAGCTTTGACCCACAAAAGCCTGCCAAGTCTGGTCCATAACCCAGCTAAAAGTCCGTGGGTTCCTGCTGGTCAGAAACTGGCGGACTGGCGGGCTGAAGAGTTGCGTCTCTACCCTATAACAAAGGTTGAATAAGTGTGTCTCTATAGAACACGTGATACTACATTTCCCAAAGCCAAGGTGTGTTCGAAAAACGATACTTTGGTAAAAGCCATTAGGGGAGAAATCAAAACCATACTATAACGTTTCGCTGAATTCGCGAGATAAGAGCGTCATGTTTGCGTATTTGTCTTCTCTAAACCGGGTGTTTCAAGCTTTTGTGGCATTTATTGCGCAAGCATTTTGCGAGATTGGAGTATTCCAAACATTGCATCACACATACGTTGGAAAAAGCTAGGCAAAGGTCATTTATTACTTTCATAGCGGTGAACTGGGACTTCAGTGAGATTTCTCCCACAGGAGCGAGTACTTCGGATCCAAACTCTGACCTTTTTAGAAGGACTTCGAGAAACTGGCATTGCCGATCAAATCGGATACATCTCATGTAAAATAGGTGAGAAGTGTAAAAAGGTGACACGCTCCCTTTAAAACGGCCCAAAACGTGAGGCGACCTTTTCTATGAGTGTCGTTTGAAGTCCTATGTATTTCACAACGGAAAATAGACATTCCTTGCATGAACTGGTATCTTTGCCTTTTTGGACAGAACTGTTGGCGGAATATGAGCTCCCGCACATAGGCGTCCCGCGCTGAAATATAGTGGAATATGGACAAGGAACAGGCGCCTTCATCATGGAATGGCACCTCTGTCATATCAACCGACACCAGCCATAAACACTCCTCCATGTCTCTGTGATGTTAAGCGGACTCTAGACAGAAAACGGACGCCGTTTCATAACTGAACTTCCCGATGATCACAAGAGAGGAATGTAGTAAAGATGAGGGTATTCTCTGTAAATGGCGCACATGTGATATCAAGCTGAATTAGCAACGAAAACACATTACGTCACAAACGTGAGTGCGCATTGGAGGTGATGGCGGAGGATGAGCGGCGCCGTAGAAGGGTCCCCTTGCGATACAAGAGGAACTGGCGACGTAAAAGAGAGGCGCATTTTCTCGACTGGGTTCCCTGTGGTTGTGCGCGTAATTACTGACGGCAATGGTTCTGGATACCCTCTTTATTGGTGAGGTAATGATAGATGTCTGCGCCTCAGTTGGAGCTATTCCGGTAGTTATCTAGCCGGAAATCGATTCTTCCCACGAACCGAATTAAAAACCCAGCGCCATTCATTGTTTCAGCTGCCAGATCGGATGAAGATTGATAGCGATTGTGTCATGAGGTCATCGGTAAACTTTTCCTGCACCTGTGCTCCGGTTTTTGAACCGTAGGCCTTCAAAGGATTGCGACTCCCATTGTTCTTTTTCGCCAAACGGTGATCTAGGCAGCAGCTGGTGAGCAATGCATGCAGCAACGTAATCGATATTCTGTAGGACCAGTCGAATGCCCAGGTAAGTGCAAGCAAACAGGGATGTGCTCTTGACTTGGCGAAATGCAGGTGTCGCGGCCCCTGCCACGCGCCGGTCCTCCCAGTCAGAAAACACGAGATCAAGCCGACTTACACCGAACTTTGCCTGGTGCCCATGGCATTCTTGGTGGCGGTGACCAACAGCAGGACTGCGTCGTGTCAAACAGTCGAGGCAGCCGTACGTCAGAGCAGCCAGCAGTTGTACCGACAAGCGGGCGCCATCGGCTCTGGAGTGGCCGCCGGCTCCGCCGCCGTCACAAGAGCCCGCAGTGCGGCGGAGAATGTTCGCTCCGCTGGTGACTGAACAGGGCCGACTCCCTCGCAGCGTGCTCGCTGATGAGGCGTG